CAAGGGAAGGTATGCATAGGGAGGCAAGGGAAGGTTTCCATAGGGAGGCAAGGGAAGGTATGCATAGGGAGGCAAGGGAAGGTTTCCATAGGGAGGCAAGGGAAGGTATCCATAGGAAGAGCAAGGGAAGGTATGCATAGGGAGGCAAGGGAAGGTATGCATAGGGAGGCAAGGGAAGGTATGCATAGGGACGCAAGGGAAGGTATGCATAGGGAGGCAAGGGAAGGTATGCATAGGGAGGCAAGGGAAGGTATGCATAGGGAGGCAAGGGAAGGTTTCCATAGGGAGGCAAGGGAAGGTATGCATAGGGAGGCAAGGGAAGGTTTCCATAGGGAGGCAAGGGAAGGTATCCATAGGAAGAGCAAGGGAAGGTATCCATAGGGAGGCAAGGGAAGGTATGCATAGGGAGGCAAGGGAAGGTATGCATAGGGACGCAAGGGAAGGTATGCATAGGGAGGCAAGGGAAGGTATGCATAGGGAGGCAAGGGAAGGTATGCATAGGGAGGCAAGGGAAGGTATGCATAGGGAGGCAAGGGAAGGTATCCATAGGGACGCAAGGGAAGGTATGCATAGGGAGGCAAGGGAAGGTATGCATAGGGAGGCAAGGGAAGGTATGCATAGGGAGGCAAGGGAAGGTATGCATAGGGAGGCAAGGGAAGGTATGCATAGGGAGGCAAGGGAAGGTATGCATAGGGAGGCAAGGGAAGGTATGCATAGGGAGGCAAGGGAAGGTATGCATAGGGAGGCAAGGGAAGGTATGCATAGGGAGGCAAGGGAAGGTATGCATAGTTAGGCAAGGGAAGGTATGCATAGTTAGGCAAGGGAAGGTATCCATAGTTAGGCAAGGGAAGGTATCCATAGTTAGGCAAGGGAAGGTATGCATGGGAAGAGCAAGGGAAGGTATGCATAGGGAGGCAAGGGAAGGTATCCATAGGGAGGCAAGGGAAGGTATGCATAGGGAGGCAAGGGAAGGTATGCATAGGGAGGCAAGGGAAGGTATGCATAGTTAGGCAAGGGAAGGTATCCATAGTTAGGCAAGGGAAGGTATGCATGAGAAGAGCAAGGGAAGGTATGCATAGGGAGGCAAGGGAAGGTATCCATAGGGAGGCAAGGGAAGGTATGCATAGGGAGGCAAGGGAAGGTATGCATAGGGAGGCAAGGGAAGGTATGCATAGGGAGGCAAGGGAAGGTATGCATAGGGACGCAAGGGAAGGTATGCATAGGGAGGCAAGGGAAGGTATGCATAGGGAGGCAAGGGAAGGTATGCATAGGGAGGCAAGGGAAGGTATGCATAGGGAGGCAAGGGAAGGTATCCATAGGGACGCAAGGGAAGGTATGCATAGGGAGGCAAGGGAAGGTATGCATAGGGAGGCAAGGGAAGGTATGCATAGGGAGGCAAGGGAAGGTATGCATAGGGAGGCAAGGGAAGGTATGCATAGGGAGGCAAGGGAAGGTATGCATAGGGAGGCAAGGGAAGGTATGCATAGGGAGGCAAGGGAAGGTATGCATAGGGAGGCAAGGGAAGGTATGCATAGGGAGGCAAGGGAAGGTATGCATAGTTAGGCAAGGGAAGGTATGCATAGTTAGGCAAGGGAAGGTATCCATAGTTAGGCAAGGGAAGGTATCCATAGTTAGGCAAGGGAAGGTATGCATGGGAAGAGCAAGGGAAGGTATGCATAGTTAGGCAAGGGAAGGTATGCATAGTTAGGCAAGGGAAGGTATGCATAGTTAGGCAAGGGAAGGTATGCATAGTTAGGCAAGGGAAGGTATCCATAGTTAGGCAAGGGAAGGTATGCATAGTTAGGCAAGGGAAGGTATGCATAGGGAGGCAAGGGAAGGTATGCATAGGGAGGCAAGGGAAGGTATGCATAGTTAGGCAAGGGAAGGTATGCATAGGGAGGCAAGGGAAGGTATGCATAGGGAGGCAAGGGAAGGTATGCATAGTTAGGCAAGGGAAGGTATCCATAGTTAGGCAAGGGAAGGTATGCATGGGAAGAGCAAGGGAAGGTATGCATAGGGAAGAGCAAGGGAAGGTATGCATAGTTAGGCAAGGGAAGGTATGCATAGTTAGGCAAGGGAAGGTATCCATAGTTAGGCAAGGGAAGGTATCCATAGTTAGGCAAGGGAAGGTATGCATGGGAAGAGCAAGGGAAGGTATGCATAGGGAGGCAAGGGAAGGTATGCATAGTTAGGCAAGGGAAGGTATGCATAGTTAGGCAAGGGAAGGTATGCATAGTTAGGCAAGGGAAGGTATCCATAGTTAGGCAAGGGAAGGTATGCATAGTTAGGCAAGGGAAGGTATGCATAGGGAGGCAAGGGAAGGTATGCATAGGGAGGCAAGGGAAGGTATGCATAGTTAGGCAAGGGAAGGTATGCATAGGGAGGCAAGGGAAGGTATGCATAGGGAGGCAAGGGAAGGTATGCATAGTTAGGCAAGGGAAGGTATGCATAGGGAGGCAAGGGAAGGTATCCATAGTTAGGCAAGGGAAGGTATGCATAGGGAGGCAAGGGAAGGTATGCATAGGGAGGCAAGGGAAGGTATGCATAGTTAGGCAAGGGAAGGTATGCATAGGGAGGCAAGGGAAGGTATCCATAGTTAGGCAAGGGAAGGTATGCATAGTTAGGCAAGGGAAGGTATCCATAGTTAGGCAAGGGAAGGTATGCATAGGGAGGCAAGGGAAGGTATGCATAGGGAGGCAAGGGAAGGTATGCATGAGAAGAGCAAGGGAAGGTATCCATAGTTAGGCAAGGGAAGGTATGCATAGTTAGGCAAGGGAAGGTATCCATAGTTAGGCAAGGGAAGGTATGCATAGGGAGGCAAGGGAAGGTATGCATAGGGAGGCAAGGGAAGGTATGCATAGGGAGGCAAGGGAAGGTATCCATAGGGAGGCAAGGGAAGGTATCCATAGGGAGGCAAGGGAAGGTATCCATATGGAAGCAAGGGAAGGTATCCATAGGGAGGCAAGGGAAGGTATGCATAGGGAGGCAAGGGAAGGTATGCATAGGGAGGCAAGGGAAGGTATCCATAGGGAGGCAAGGGAAGGTATGCATGGGGAGGCAAGGGAAGGTATCCATAGGGAAGACAAGGGAAGGTATGCATAGGGAGGCAAGGGAAGGTATCCATAGGGAGGCAAGGGAAGGTATGCATAGGGAGGCAAGGGAAGGTATGCATAGGGAGGCAAGGGAAGGTATCCATAGGGAGGCAAGGGAAGGTATGCATGGGGAGGCAAGGGAAGGTATCCATAGGGAAGACAAGGGAAGGTATGCATAGGGAGGCAAGGGAAGGTATGCATAGTTAGGCAAGGGAAGGTATGCATGGGGAGGCAAGGGAAGGTTTCCATAGGGAGGCAAGGGAAGGTATGCATAGGGAGGCAAGGGAAGGTATGCATAGGGAGGCAAGGGAAGGTATGCATGGGAAGAGCAAGGGAAGGTAGCCATAGGGAGGCAAGGGAAGGTATGCATAGTTAGGCAAGGGAAGGTATGCATGGGGAGGCAAGGGAAGGTTTCCATAGGGAGGCAAGGGAAGGTATGCATAGGGAGGCAAGGGAAGGTATCCATAGGGAGGCAAGGGAAGGTATGCATAGGGAGGCAAGGGAAGGTATGCATAGGGAGGCAAGGGAAGGTATGCATGGGGAGGCAAGGGAAGGTTTCCATAGGGAGGCAAGGGAAGGTATGCATAGGGAAGACAAGGGAAGGTATGCATAGGGAGGCAAGGGAAGGTATGCATAGTTAGGCAAGGGAAGGTATGCATGGGGAGGCAAGGGAAGGTTTCCATAGGGAGGCAAGGGAAGGTATCCATAGGGAAGACAAGGGAAGGTATGCATAGGGAGGCAAGGGAAGGTATGCATAGTTAGGCAAGGGAAGGTATGCATGGGGAGGCAAGGGAAGGTTTCCATAGGGAGGCAAGGGAAGGTATGCATAGGGAGGCAAGGGAAGGTATGCATAGGGAGGCAAGGGAAGGTATGCATGGGAAGAGCAAGGGAAGGTAGCCATAGGGAGGCAAGGGAAGGTATGCATAGTTAGGCAAGGGAAGGTATGCATGGGGAGGCAAGGGAAGGTTTCCATAGGGAGGCAAGGGAAGGTATGCATAGGGAGGCAAGGGAAGGTATGCATAGGGAGGCAAGGGAAGGTATGCATAGGGAGGCAAGGGAAGGTATGCATAGGGAGGCAAGGGAAGGTATGCATGGGAAGAGCAAGGGAAGGTTTCCATAGGGAGGCAAGGGAAGGTATCCATAGTTAGGCAAGGGAAGGTATCCATAGGGACGCAAGGGAAGGTATCCATAGGGAGGCAAGGGAAGGTATCCATAGGGACGCAAGGGAAGGTATCCATAGGGAGGCAAGGGAAGGTATCCATAGGGACGCAAGGGAAGGTATCCATAGGGAGGCAAGGGAAGGTATCCATAGGGACGCAAGGGAAGGTATCCATAGGGAGGCAAGGGAAGGTATCCATAGTTAGGCAAGGGAAGGTATCCATAGGGACGCAAGGGAAGGTATCCATAGGGAGGCAAGGGAAGGTATCCATAGTTAGGCAAGGGAAGGTATCCATAGGGACGCAAGGGAAGGTATCCATAGGGAGGCAAGGGAAGGTATCCATTGGGAGGCAAGGGAAGGTATCCATAAGGAGGCAAGGGAAGGTATCCATAGGGAAGACAAGGGAAGGTATCCATAGGGACGCAAGGGAAGGTATCCATAGGGAGGCAAGGGAAGGTATCCATAGTTAGGCAAGGGAAGGTATCCATAGGGACGCAAGGGAAGGTATCCATAGGGAGGCAAGGGAAGGTATCCATTGGGAGGCAAGGGAAGGTATCCATAAGGAGGCAAGGGAAGGTATCCATATGGAAGCAAGGGAAGGTATCCATAGGGAAGACAAGGGAAGGTATCCATAGGGAGGAAAGGGTAGGTATGGATAGGGAGGCAAGGGAAGGTATGCATAATTAAGTGACATAATTAGTGCTCTACTGACCCTAGAACCCAGTGCTAAGCAGAGACTAGAAGTGTACCTTCTGTTCTTCATCTCAGCCTCAGAGAGTCTCAGATCAGCCATGGACCCTGTTGGTGTTCCTCGAGTCTGCCGCAGAAGGTGGGTGTTGACAGGGATGGGGGTCCACTCCTTCCGCATGCTGCCTAGCTCAACACCCTGACCTACGTCAAGGTCATCCTCATCTTCTTCAGGCATACTGCAGCACAGACAGAAACATACACTAGACAAAGCCTTGGATCCGTCGGAGTAATGATGTACTAGCAATGACAGAAACATACACTAGACAGAGCCTTGGATCCGTCAGAGTAATGATGTACTAGCAATGACAGAAACATACACTAGACAGAGCCTTAGATCCGTCAGAGTAATGATGTACTAGCAATGACAGAAACATACACTAGACAGAGCCTTGGATCCGTCAGAGTAATGATGTACTAGCAATGACAGAAACATACACTAGACAGAGCCTTGGATCCGTCAGAGTAATGATGTACTAGCAATGACAGAAACATACACTAGACAGAGCCTTGGATCCGTCGGAGTAATGATGTACTAGCAATGACAGAAACATACACTAGACAGAGCCTTGGATCCGTCGGAGTAATGATGTACTAGCAATGACAGAAACATACACTAGACAGAGCCTTGGATCCGTCGGAGTAATGATGTACTAGCAATCACAGATACAGTGCATCGAGAAGGTAATGATTGGCCAAACATTCTTGTGAAAGACTCATTAAATATGGATGAATTGTGACATCTTTTTTGCTAAATACAGAAACAACAAGGCTGCTTGGCATGCAGAAGAAACACTGAAGTGTTGAGGGTGTATCCAATCAACACAGTGTCAGTGTATCACATACCCATTAAAAGACATGCAGTATATTCTTAAATTTTGTCAGAAATTATGTGTAAAATGCAATAAGAACCATTTATGTTGGACAAATCTATTTATAAACCCGACTAAACCGTTACAGCAATGCTTCAGTTTTCCTGCAGGTTATCAACTGAGGTCTGACAATCTATCAGAGAAATGAGCAAAGCGAGGTGATTGACCAAAGTTTCACTGTTCATCTGGACTTGAAGCCCAGGCCTGTTCAGACTGAAGACAGGTGTCCATACTGTCACCACCAAGCTGAGCATGAAGCATGATGATGGAACACATTATTCATGTGTTATGTGTCGATTTCCAAATTGAAACAATATGTTAACCCAGAAATCTGTATGTAAAGAACCTCATGTGAAACCAACCAATAAAAGGAATACAATTATTAATTGTATTACAAAATTAACTAGGTTTACAAATCAACACAAATTACTTCACTGCAATTAAAATGGCAGTACACAATGGAGTGGTAGTACAATATTCAATGACAGTATGTCATAAGATAAGATAAGAATACAAAAATACAGTGATGATAACAGAAGTCAGTGATAATAGTATATTCAACAGCAACAGTGGTGAAGCTTCCGAGATGGGCCTTTTAATGATGCAGGAAATATGGGGTGATGAGTGATCGTCACATGAAAGCTGGTCTTGATGAGAGATGCTTAAGCATGCTCGTCCCCTTATATAGTGTAACTAGCTACTGGAAAGTTCCACACAGTGCCCTTACGACATAGTGTGTTTTTACACTATCACACTCCATGGTATCCCAGAAGTTTACACATCTTACTAGCATCTGAATATCTGACGACTGCTTACATTAAATAGTATTACATTCCTTACAACCAATCATTGTCCAAATACAATGCAATGAGCGTCTACTGAATCTCAACAGAAACAATGTAACTCAGTTACAATCATTGTTCAACAATAAAATACACTGTCATATAATCACTCTAGCCCAGACAGCAAGTGGTTGATATTATGAGCAACGTCCCATGCCATTGGGGTACAATGACACACAATCAACCAGTCGCCGAGGTGAACCATCAGGCTGATTGAGTCATCTCATATGAGAAGCACTGGTCACTTGGGACCAATTCTAACCTGGAGTAGCCATGAGGATGATAGCATGTGACATGAAATCAACAAAATAATAACTTTAACCTCCTAGTGCTCATTGTAGTCAGTTCACAAGACAAGTATGAAAGCTGGGGACATTACATTAATTGATGGACGTATATGGAACACAACCTGCCTGTGGAGGTGTAATCTAATCAGGTGTGGTAACACCCTGATAAGTTGACCACCTCTAGGTAACTACTGGATGAACACAAGACTGCTGATACACAACCAACAACTATACCACTCACTATCAGTGGTACATGACATGCCCCAGCTACATCATGTAGGACTGTATCAGTGCCCCAGGTACATCATGTAGGAATGTATCAGTGATACATAACATGCCCCAGGTACATCATGTAGGAATGTATCAGTGCCTCAGCTACATCATGTAGGAATGTATCAGTGCCCCAGCTAGATCATGTAGGAATGTATCAGTGATACATAACATGCCCCAGCTACATCATGTAGGAATGTATCAGTGCCCCAGCTACATCATGTAGGAATGTATCAGTGATACATAACATGCCCCAGCTACATCATGTAGGAATGTATCAGTGCCCCAGCTACATCATGGAGGACTGTATCAGTGCCCCAGCTACATCATGTAGGAATGTATCAGTGCCCCAGCTACATCATGTAGGAATGTATCAGTGCCCCAGCTACATCATGTAGGAATGTATCAGTGCCCCAGCTACATCATGTAGGACTGTATCAGTGCCCCAGGTACATCATGTAGGAATGTATCAGTGCCCCAGCTACATCATGTAGGAAGGTTTCAGTGCCCCAGCTACATCATGTAGGAATGTATCAGTGCCCCAGCTACATCATGTAGGAATGTATCAGTGCCCCAGATACATCATGTAGGAATGTATCAGTGCCCCAGCTACATCATGTAGGAATGTATCAGTGCCTCAGCTACATCATGTAGGAATGTATCAGTGATACATAACATGCCCCAGGTACATCATGTAGGAATGTATCAGTGACCCAGCTACATCATGTAGGACTGTATCAGTGCCCCAGCTACATCATGTAGGACTGTATCAGTGCCCCAGGTACATCATGTAGGAATGTATCAGTGCCCCAGCTACATCATGTAGGACTGTATCAGTGCCCCAGCTACATCATGTAGGAATGTATCAGTGCCCCAGCTACATCATGTAGGAATGCATCAGTGCCCCAGCTACATCATGTAGGAATGTATCAGTGCCCCAGCTACATCATGTAGGAATGTATCAGTGCCCCAGGTACATCATGTAGGAATGTATCAGTGCCCCAGCTACATCATGTAGGAATGTATCAGTGCCCCAGCTACATCATGTAGGAATGTATCAGTGCCCCAGCTACATCATGTAGGAATGTATCAGTGCCCCAGCTACATCATGTAGGAATGTATCAGTGGTACATAACATGCCCCAGGTACATCATGTAGGAATGTATCAGTGCCCCAGGTACATCATGTAGGAATGTATCAGTGCCCCAGCTACATCATGGAGGACTGTATCAGTGCCCCAGCTACATCATGTAGGAATGTATCAGTGGTACATAACATGCCCCAGGTACATCATGGAGGACTGTATCAGTGCCCCAGCTACATCATGTAGGAATGTATCAGTGCCCCAGCTACATCATGGAGAACTGTATCAGTGCCCCAGCTACATCATGTAGGAATGTATCAGTGATACATAACATGCCCCAGGTACATCATGTAGGAATGTATCAGTGCCCCAGCTACATCATGTAGGAATGTATCAGTGACCCAGCTACATCATGTAGGAGTGTATCAGTGCCCCAGCTACATCTTGTAGGACTGTATCAGTGCCCCAGCTACATCATGTAGGAATGTATCAGTGCCCCAGCTACATCATGTAGGACTGTATCAGTGCCCCAGCTACATCATGTAGGAATGTATCAGTGCCCCAGCTACATCATGTAGGAATGTATCAGTGCCCCAGCTACATCATGTAGGAATGTATCAGTGCCCCAGCTACATCATGTAGGAATGTATCAGTGCCCCAGGTACATCATGTAGGAATGTATCAGTGCCCCAGCTACATCATGTAGGAATGTATCAGTGCCCCAGCTACATCATGTAGGAATGTATCAGTGCCCCAGCTACATCATGTAGGAATGTATCAGTGCCCCAGCTACATCATGTAGGACTGTATCAGTGCCCCAGCTACATCATGTAGGAATGTATCAGTGCCCCAGCTACATCATGTAGGAATGTATCAGTGGTACATAACATGCCCCAGGTACATCATGGAGGACTGTATCAGTGCCCCAGGTACATCATGTAGGAATGTATCAGTGCCCCAGCTACATCATGTAGGAATGTATCAGTGCCCCAGCTACATCATGTAGGACTGTATCAGTGCCCCAGCTACATCATGTAGGAATGTATCAGTGCCCCAGCTACATCATGTAGGAATGTATCAGTGCCCCAGCTACATCATGTAGGAATGTATCAGTGCCCCAGCTACATCATGTAGGAATGTATCAGTGGTACATAACATGCCCCAGGTACATCATGGAGGACTGTATCAGTGCCCCAGGTACATCATGTAGGAATGTATCAGTGCCCCAGCTACATCATGTAGGAATGTATCAGTGCCCCAGCTACATCATGTAGGACTGTATCAGTGCCCCAGCTACATCATGTAGGACTGTATCAGTGCCCCAGCTACATCATGGAGGACTGTATCAGTGCCCCAGGTACATCATGTAGGAATGTATCAGTGCCCCAGCTACATCATGTAGGAATGTATCAGTGCCCCAGCTACATCATGTAGGAATGTATCAGTGCCCCAGCTACATCATGTAGGAATGTATCAGTGGTACATAACATGCCCCAGGTACATCATGGAGGACTGTATCAGTGCCCCAGGTACATCATGTAGGAATGTATCAGTGCCCCAGCTACATCATGTAGGAATGTATCAGTGCCCCAGCTACATCATGTAGGACTGTATCAGTGCCCCAGCTACATCATGTAGGACTGTATCAGTGCCCCAGCTACATCATGTAGGAATGTATCAGTGGTACATAACATGCCCCAGGTACATCATGTAGGAATGTATCAGTGCCCCAGCTACATCATGTAGGAATGTATCAGTGCCCCAGCTACATCATGTAGGAATGTATCAGTGGTACATGACATGCCCCAGGTACATCATGTAGGA